CGCTTGAGGTTATTATAAATCAGGCCTAGGCTAACTCACAACTCCCAGGTTTCTCTTTCCCACTTTTCCTACCTGAGTTAATTTAGCAGTGGTTAAAAGCTAAACAGGCCCTCCATTTTGGTCTTAGAAATATCCCAGAATGACTTCAAACCAGTGAAAGAACCACAGGAACTGTAACTCCAGAAATTCCTTTCAGTTCTGGAAGAGAGTGGAGTTTAATCCATGGGAGGTCTTGATTTGCAGGATAGGAAAAAGGAAATGAAAGAGAGAACTGTAGATAATAGCATCCAGGAAGATTGATAATCTGGGCTTATTATGACCAGGGCCTGAGATTACATGACATGAAGAGTGTGCAGTGGAGTAGTTAATGTTGGACCACAGAGAGTCTGGTTCAGGCTTCCACTCCGCCATGCTTATCTGACATTTATTTGAAGAGAAGACATGGGAGTGGGGGATAGGTTTAAATAGAAAGGGAGCTATAAAAAGGAAGGATTGAAATTGGGTTTAGTAGATATAGTTTGCAGTAGCTGTGTTGTTATTTCTGATAACCCTTAATGGACTTTCGCTGATTAATATGGAGAGATGAGGTTGTGGAGATTGATTTATAGAGAATGAGGTGAGATATGGGATGAAGAGATGTTTGGTTTTACTTTAAGAGATAGTGATAACCTAACGTTGATTTTCCTTACTGGGGATGAAAGGTGAGGTTTCTTTTTTTCTCCTCTCCTTTTTCTTTCTCTGCATTCTTTATAAAACGTTTTTTCTCTTCTTTTCTTTTTTCTTCTTTTCTATATTTTATACTATTTAGATTGTATTAGTTTTATCGGTGTAACATAATCTTCAATAAAATTATTTTAAAAAATAACGCTCACTGGCTAACTTAAAACCAGTCTCTCCTTTTCTGCCAAGCCTTTCTCATAATATAGTACCTAGGAGAGACACCTTTAACCTATCTTAGGTTATCAGAAAAAAAACAAGATGCGCGTGTAATAAATTATAACAATAAGTTCCAAGGCGTTGCTTATAAGAGGCTTTAGAGAGACAAGTTAGAGGAGCTGTTGAGGGAAGAGGGCTAATGGCGGCTGTAGACAGGAGTTTTCTGCGTCTTGGTTTTATTTTTTTCTTAAAACCTAGGTTTTATCCTGGAGGTTCGGTGTAGAAAGCATGGCTGAAAGGGGACTGGAATCCGCTCAGGCCAGCATTTTTCAAACTTGGCAATGATAAGATGTGTGGACTTCTTCCCCCCCAAATTCCCCCCCCAGCCCCCCTGCCCGGGGGGTTCTTGGGTGTTGG